CAGGAGTCATCCATCCTATGATCTGACCTCAGTTACACTTTCTTCTGCTTCTATTATAGAATAGTTCCATTTATAAATACCCCAATTTCTCACAAGGCAAGCTATCCCATAGAGATAAGAAATCAATAAGAAAAATGTGGGCAGGTCATGTCCAGTAAATATAGTAAGGTATTGCGATTATCCTTTTTCCCATATGGGTTATATTTGCGTTATTTTCAATTAAGAATAGATTCAGGAATGTCTGAAGAGCCAATTGAAAAAATAATAATTGTTTGTTCTATTTTTATATCGAAATGAAAGCAATTTTAAACCAAGGTAAACATTATCCATGAATTAAAACAGCAGCACCTGACTTTTCAGATAGGATCCTGCTTGCCAGTCCCAACCTCGCTCTTTCATAAGAACTACATGGGAAATTTTTATGGATATGGTATCACAGCTCACTATAGCATTGCACAAGACTGGCTGTTCCACAGATCCATTGAGAGCTCTGAAATTAACTACATAAATTGCATAGATAATAATAACTAAGTAATGATTAATACTAGAATTTCCACATTTTAAGGGTTATGTTCCCATTGTCAATCTACATCTGAACACTAAGCATTAATATACTGAGAAATTCCTATTTGCATACTATAGAGAAAATATGTGATAGCAAGGTGAAAAAAGGAGAATTTATCTTCCCGAATTAGAATCTCATTACTTCCTACTAATAAATACTCGTTACTCACTAATAATAAACAAGCAGTGTGTATTTTTCTGTCAAAACAAGTTTCAAAAAAATCTTAATCCCTCTTGACTCATTATTGCTTGACTCATTATTGCATAGTTTTACCTAAAGTAACAATAGGAATACCGGTTAGGACACAGGACATGTATTAATAAGCAGCTTGGGTATATATATGATAGGTCTATGTTGGGAGACAGAGCTTCCTAAAGGCATACATTTATGTTATAGAAACCACTTTTTTGGAACAATTATGTTAGTAATTTTTAGTTAATTCTCCAAGGAAATATTAACATTCTGAGAGCAACTGGATTTCCTAGTTCACACACCACAATTTTACTCATTCTCTCCCTGGACTGAGTGAGATATGTTCTATCTTTCATTTCCAGTGATATAGCATTCCTGTCAGGGTCTTCATTACACATATTAAATTTATTGCCACTTCAAAAAAAGTAGTAATTATCCCAGATACCTATATTTGGTAGGAAGAATTATATAGTAGTATGCGGGATGATTTAGATGAAAAAAAAATCACATTATTTGAAATGCCATAAAAATTGAAAATGTTAGAACAGTTTGTAAGAGTGATGAATTAATGAGAAGGGAGAAGAAATCAAGTGTGCATTAAATATGCCAATTATAATATGAATATTGTTCTGATTACATATAAGTACAGACATGAAGATATATGTGAAAAGAAGAAAGTATAGCCCAGGATCTTGAAAACAAGTTTAGAAAAATTAATTTTAGTTTCCTGATTTTGCCCAGAGTTGCTTTCTGACATATGGCAAGTCACTTATCACTGCTATACTTTTGAATGTAGTTCCATGATTGGCTTCAGTGATTGTATATATAGAAACTGCTGCCATTAGAAAACAAGAGAGGGAATAAGAAGCAGTTACATGTAAATCAGCTTAAGTAAACACCAACACAATCACCACCACATTTTTAAAATGGGTAGAAGAGTTCTCCTCCACCTTATGTGGTGGCACTGCAGAGAAAAAGACACTGAATAAAGTGAATGGAACCACTACAGACTTCATGAACGTATAAGACATTGTTATAAAAGACAGCACTAACATAAATAAGTATATGCCAGAGGTTCATTTTATGGACAATATTCTCTGTGTACCAACAGTCTATTATTAAGTATAAAGTTCTACAGATGCCCTGTCATTCCATGTTAGGAATTAAATAATATATGAATTAGAATCTATGGGCAGATATAAATTTGTAAGTATTTAGTACAAAATTTAATAACTTGATAGGCTGTTAAGAAACAGCATGACATACACTATATCTGCACAATGATATGACCTTGGTGGAAATTTATTGATTTTTCATGTGAAGGATGTGTGAAATAATTTGTGTTGTTTACTTATATTATTCCTAGCGCACCAAAGCACGCTGCCTTATAACAGTAAGGTAGAAAAAGGACTGTTCTAACAGTCTTCAGAGAACATTTTAAGTATTTAATAAATTTGTTTATGAGAAGGAAAAAAAAACAACAAAACAGCAAATTCTGTAAATGTAATGTCACAAGTGCTTAAACTTTATAGTAAGAGTTCTACAAAGCCTCTGTGGATATTGTTCAATTTTTACTGTTGTCCATTCCAGAAATAAGAAGCCACTGCATCCCATCTTAGAAATATGAAGCTATTGTACAGTTCCAATGCAGGGCTAAACTCTGTAGAGTTCAGGAATCTCACAGTTTCACAGTTCAAGAACATTTATATACTGTGTTTGTTTTGTACCTGTACTTTTCAAGAAATATAAATAAAGAGGGGACTCTCCAGTTTAGTTTCAAAAAGGAAAAGGTAAGCAGACAGAACTCTGATGAATACATAACAGAGGTCTCCAGGCATTTTGCCAATAAAAACCTGAATTCAATCTATTTGACTTGATTTGTTGCACATCTGTACAAGATATAAATGTGATATTGTTCCTCCTGCTTTGTCAGTACAGCATTATCAAACAATAGGGAGAGGATTAACTAACTATGCAGGGAAATTCTAAAATGTGAAAGCAATAAGGACATCAGAGGAGCCATGCCTGAGCAACAGACATAAACTGAAGAAGATCTAATAAAAACATCTGTAGGGATCCCATCTTATACACTCCTAGAACTCCTGCCCATAAGTGGTCAGATTATTCCTTCTCTGATCAGTAAAATGTTAATATGACACAATGCAATTGTATGCAATAGAGTTAGCCTGAGCTACTGAAGATTAAAAATTGGTTCAGCTGTGTCTTCTGGCTGGCATGCTGCCATTCAGATGATGCTCTCTTCTTTACTTGCATCTCACAGAGCCCTGTCTCTGTGGGGCCACACATTTTTTCCTGTAAACTTTAAGAAAAGCTCTGAAACACTGGGTTTCACTGGTAGAATCTGACTTCTGTCTCAGAAGCATAGGTTGAAATAAAAAACATATGGCTGAAGGGAAGAGAAAAAAAAAAAAAAGTGATCAAGTGGATACATCAGCTCTTATGACCACTTAAACTGTTAAAGTGTTTATGAGGTGCTTGGGGTGGGGCAGCCTCTGTGCATAGACTATTATCGTTCAGCACAATCATACAATCCTTCTGAAATGCATATGGACTAACAATGATTATTATTTTTATTATTTTTTTGTTCAAAAGGAAGCCACAACCTATTTATGGTTGGCACTTGGCAAATGTTAGTTATGATTTCAAACATGTCAGAAGCATACTTAACAGGTCCTGATCTTCCTGTAGAATTATTTGAAGTGTTGCAGATCTTCTGTGTAGTCTGGGTACGTTCTACTTGCACCATAAAGCCATGCTGGATGGCATAAAACCAAATGGTCTAAATCAAATGGCCACACATGATTTCAATTTTTTGTGTAATGTACAAGAAAGGCTGACCAGAGAAGATCAAGAACAGTTTTCCTTAATTACACTGCATTGAATGATTTTGATATTATTATCTTCCAGATACTGAGTGGGACAAAACCAATTTAAAAACATTCAAGACACTTTGTATATCTGATATTTCTTACAAATCTATAAGCAGTAAGAAGCACAAAAAAATCTTTATAACCAAGGAAATTTCTTCTTAAAGTTTTGATATATATTTCAGTATTATTTTTACCTATTAAAACAAATCAATAATGATTATTCTCAAATAAGCTTACAACATATTTTGACTATCAAAATCTAAGGCTGAATTCAGGCTATAAATGAATCAACATTATCACAGAACGGTTTGAGTTGGAAGGGACCTTTAAAGACTGCCCAGTTCCAATCCCCCTGTCATGGGCAGGGACACCTCCCACCAGACTAGGTTGCTCAAAGCCCCACCTAGCCTGGCCTTGAACGCTTCCAGGGATGGTGCATCCACAGCTTCATTGGGCAATCTGTGCCTGGACCTCACCACCCTCACAGTGAAGAATTTCTTCCTTATGTCTAATCTAAACCTACTCTCTTTAAGTTTGAAATCATTACTCCTTGTCCTATCCCTACACTCCCTGACAAAGAGATCCTCCCCAGCTTCCTGTAGGCCGTCTTTAGGCACTGGAAGGCTGTTATGAGGTCTACATGTAGCCTTCTCTGCTCTCGGCTGAACAACCCCAACTCCCTCAGCCTGTCTTCACAGAAGAGGTCTTCCAGCCCTTTGATCACCTTGTAGCCTTCCTCTGGACTTGTTCTAATACCTCCATGTATTTCTTGTGCTGGGGGCCCTAGAGCTGAACACAGTATTCCAGGTGGGGACTCAAGAGCAGAGCAGAGGGAGAATCAGCAGAAAAGAAAAATTATAAGCAGAAAAAATAAGTCTGATTAGATAAACATAAAGTGATTTTTAAATCAATGATGTAAAAAAATCTTAAATCTGTAAATTCAACTTTAAAACTAGAAAAAAATACTTTGTAAAGGAAAACAGAAAATCAAACACTCATTTTTCATTCAAAAGAAAAGGCAGTTATCCAGAATTTTAGGTTGTACTTCCTAGCCTACTCTTGTCTAACTTTAGTCTCATTCCTTGCCTCTGAACAAAACTTAATGCTCCATACAATTGTAAAATGAGAATAAAAGCTTATATTGCAAAATATATTTTTTTTGGTTAAAACACAACCTGAAATGTACATACAATAGTATAACTTTAAAATTTATACAATATAATAAGTGAAATAGTATAATATACGATAAATATATCTTACTTGTTAGAAGGTATGTTTAGTGGGCAAGCACACAGCTGACAGTCTTCAGCTGTCCCTTTAGTAGGATCACCATAGAAACCAGGAAGACATCTATCACAATATGAACCACCTGTGTTGTGTTTGCAGTCCTGAATAGAAGATGAAAAGTACAAATTCACAATTATAGAATATTCACAATTAGACAAAGACCTTGAAGGTCGTTTATCTAACCTATCTTCTCAACTGGATCGTAAGAAGTCTGCAAGGTATATTCTGATTTTCTGTTGTTAGTTGAGAACTGGTTCTGGAGAATAGCTATAACAATTGGTGCTTTACACATATTAGGTATTTATGCTCTCTTAGGTAAGTTTTATTTCTGTAAAACATAAAGAAATGTTCCAAAATACAGTTGCCACAGTATTGTTTTAGCTTGCTTAAATAAAACTAGCATTCAGAGAATCACAAAACAGGTTTAGTATCGCAGTCTTACAACAGCCTGATTTTTTATTTTTTTTTTTTACAAACAGTTTTCAGACGCTGATCTCAGAATTACAGCTTAGACGATATACTTTATAAAAATAGATTATTATATTTCACATTTAAGTGCTTTAACTCATTTTAAAAGGTATATGGCTAGCAGCATACTAAATATATTTGAGTAGACTACTAAATACTCTAAATGTGAAGAGTAGTAAAGGCTCAACTGTTTAATTAATACTTGTTTGCTAGCAAACAATACAGACTATATTTTATGGGTAGAAACAAGGACAAGTATATTGTATATAGGGCCTTACTCATCAGTAGCTTTTCCTGCATATGACTGGCCTTCATTATACAAGATAGTCTTGAGACAGATATGAAACACCCAATGACTTAAAGTGGCAGCAGTAGTTCTCTATTTCTGTATATAGCCTTTGACATGATCTCAAATTAAATGATTTTTTTTTTTTTTTGGCAGAAAGGAAAGTGGTCCCCTACGAACTGGCTTCCCATGCTGACTTCTAACAACAACTGCTTCGTAAATTTGCTTCGTAAATTTTAGAGAAAAATTATCCCTTCTGCTATTCTTCTTCACCACATAGGATTAAAGATCCTAAATAGTTTGGTACAATACATCACAGGCTCAGTAAATTACTTCTCTGGCTTAGTTTTGTTTTCTTCCCTCCACGTTTTAGCACACTGGATTATTCCTTTGAATATTATTTGCTACAAGGTGGCCAAGTGCAGCCCTTACAAAGTATGAAAACAGAGAAAGAAGCAGAAACAATTTTGAGAGTAAAATTACATCTCAATGTGCTTGGGTATAGATTGAAAAAGCATGTGACAACTCAAAAAGGCCAACATGAAAGCCATGAGATAAATTTTTATTTAATGGAGAATGTTCTGATCTGATTTAGATAATGCATAAGGCTCCAGATCAATTCTAGAATTTGTTTCACCCTTAATATTTCCCTAATGTGCTCCTTCAGCATTATTGATTTGTGTAAATATTTCCAAACTCATGATCTTATTAAAGCAATTTTAAAGTATTCTTCAAAATATTTCTATAATTTACTGTAAATCATGTATATGGTACTGATTGACCTTTAACATCATTACTACACAAAATACATAATATATCCTCAATAAAGGATAAAGATAATGGCACTACTTTAAGGAACACTGATTTATTTTATTTTATTTTATTTTATTTTCTGCAGGATTTTCCAAGATTACGATGAAGTTTTTTGCATTGTGCTCTGCAGAGCTGGTGCTGTACATTTGGGGAGCTGAATAAGCCGAATACCCTTTTCAGTCATAAGCACACTGAAGTCAGAAGGATCTGTCTCCAGAAATGTTGTTTACTTCTAAAGGGTGCATTCTTATTGCTTGTGTGTATACAATCAACATATCTTTGAAATGAAAGCATTAGTCACCATATTAAATTTTCACATATTTGGTAGACTGTTAATGCCAACTATTGAGACCCCCTAGTCAAACAATATTATGGCTTTAGTACCTTCAGCTGGGCTAAATTCTACTCCATTAGGTCATTTAAGTCTACTTGATTGTTACTTCAAGTGCTAATATACAAAAATAATCTACAGGCCATACTTAAAGGAACAAGAACATTAAGATATGCTTTTAAAAGATGTGACAAAAATAATTTCAATGTTACAAAAGAAAAATCCTTTACAATTCATCTTTTTTAAAGCATTATGTCAAATTATTTGTACTTTTCCTGAAAAATAATGGATTCTTCTTTTGTGTTAAGTTTAGATTTAAATGCCCTCAGAAATATCTTTATGCAGTTCATATTCTTAAAAAAAGTTTATGTCAAAGATGCTATTAAATTGAGGGGAGCTAACACACACTTAAAGCTTACAGATTGGTATTTGCAGCTGCTTCTTTTTTAAGTTTAAAAAACAACAACAACAACAAAAACACAAAAACACACAACAAAAACCCTTCCATCTTCTGAGAAAACAATTCACATTATGAAGAGCTGACCTTCTTCTCTTTGAATAATTTTCTAAAAATATAACTCTAGTACATTTCCATGTACTAATTCTCCTTAATCCAGTTCTCTATATCTACTTATTTCCTAACTGTAACTCTAAATTAAAAAACAAACAAACAAACAAACAAACAAAAACCAAACAAAAAAACGGAACAAAACACTCATACAGTGCCAAAATCTGAGCATATGTTGTACTGTGTATATATTAGCGTTGGGCTGAGAAATAACAATCTCGTGTAGTCCTACCTTTCTGCCTGAGCTGGTCTCAGTTTTACTGGAGAAAGAACAAGAATTATATAGTACATGGATGTGAATGGATGTGACATACTTTGCCTGTTCCTTTCAGTGATGCATTAAATTTTATGTTCATTTGCCAAATTTCTAGATCACTTTAAGTACTGAAATATTTGAATTATTAGCCCTTCTGAAGACATTATCAATACTCATGATTTTTTTTTTTATATCAATTGGTTGAATCTCAATTTGAAACATGTAAAATATACAGCCATGGTTTTAAGTATGATCCAGTTTGAGTAATATCTAATTACACTGATATTACACTGATACTTAAAAGGTGCTTAGGCCTGTGAAGTCTTAATTTCATGTTTGTATGAACATTCATATTTTTTTTTTTGTGTGTGTCATGAGACTGGCTGTAAAGAAGATTATGATCAGCTGTCCGTAACTTCTCCAGTACATTATATACATGGTCCCTTGGAAATACAGTTGGTTCTAACCCATTGATTGATTGGTTTTGGTAAAATCAGTAGTCTGTTCCATAGCCTCTTAGATTTTTATGACCAGGAACTAGTTTATTCTCATATGTTTATGTCATCAAATTACAGTGACTAGATCCCAAATTACTTTGAATGCATCAATTTTCTGGACCTCTTTTATATCCAAATACCAACAAACTTCACTGAGACAACCTGAGAATAGAACACTAAGATAAACTTAGAATAAACCAGACTGTGAATTTTATTTTCTTTAAAAAAACTTATGCATGAATCAGACCTTCTTGCATAAAGATTTTGTTACTGATTTCCTGGAGTGCATTTTCCACCCCTTCTTATTGAGCTGGCTCTCAGTTTGGAAGAAACCAACTGGACATCTGTGCACCTAGTGTCAGGGAAGACTATGTTCACTGAAAACCTCCTCTGCTTAGCTGGGTCCACATGTGAAAGTATGACTATAGAGAGAAACATTCTCAATAGAAGACTAGTGATAAAATTAAAACTTTAATCATGGAGTATGACTGAGTCCAACACAGTGCTTTGGCATGTTGCTGCTCTATCTCAGGTTATATCTATTATGGATATCAGGGAAGATAGTAGTTAAAGAAAATGAAAACATATGCCCATGTGCCTATTTTGGTATATTTCTTAGTCATCTAGAGCAGAAAATTTTATTCTCTTTTTGAGAGCATGAACATGCTCTTCTAGCATTTTCAAACCACTGTAATGTCTAGATTTCATGACCCTTTTCTGGTGTTACAAATGCAATCAAGAGCAATGCTCAGGCTTTATATTTTCACCTGTGGTATATCATGTACTGCATTTAGCTGAGGATCCATCATTATGTTACTGTGTAAATGAAAATATCACTCCTGTGATCAAAACTGTCAAAAGCACAACATGTCAAATACCTCTGACACCGGCCTCCATCTACATGCTACATGCTGTTTATACACAAAGATAGAAAATACAAAATGGATGCAACTGGGACTGCCCTCTTAGCAATTTCAGCACCTCTTTAAGGGGAGGAAAGATCTGTTTTTTCTGGGCTTACTAGTGGGAAAGTAACGTTGCCATGAATGAAATATTGAAATGTTTTTGCTGTTCACAAGGATTAGATTTAACCAGCCTCATATAGCTGCCATAAATATGTGTATGTAAAATTACAAAAGAGTATTTCCGTATGCTAGAACTTGCCCTATGTACCAAAGCAGTTATGTATTATCACAATGGTAACGAGAACGATATATCATGCAGCTCTCTATATGGCTGCTGTGGGGATCAAAGGCCTTTGCAGGTTACTGCAAGATAGGCATTAAAATAAGCTTTTTATACAGACCTATGTCGAAGCAGATGATTTGAGCTTTTATCATGAGTCAAAAACATATTTCAGCTGCCTTTCAACTACATTTCAAAGCTAAGGAAGAGTAAAAAAGTATCATATCAGTAAATTAGGTGCCTAAATTGTCTGTTGTATTACTGGAAAAACACCATGAATAATAATAAGGAGGCCAAAAGGCTGTGTAAACCTCAATAGAACGAATGCCTTTGATGTGAAACATTTCTCTTTTTCAGCATTCAGACTTCTCTCTTTTTCACTTCAAAAGGCTTATGATCCAAATTGAATAGCAGCATTTAATAGCCTGCATGGATACTAACCAATCTAACTTCATTTACAGTATTTTCAAAGTAAGCTGCAAAAAAAAAACAGAACTAGTTTTAAGCTCCCTGTGCTCCTATTCTTTACAGGATGATCTAGTATAAGCTCGGGCAGAGCATAAGAAATACAGAATACTTGATAACACACATAAAGTACTTTTTCAGCAGGTTATTTTCCACTTCCGCCTCAGTGCTGTTGTGAATGCACCAGCACCCTTTGAAACATCGAAAGGGGGAGCTCTGCTATCTCAGTCAGTAGTAGCTAACAAGCAGCTGAAAAGTGCAAAAGCACCACAGTATGCAACTCTACAGCCTTCTTTCACATCCAGGCTGGTGTTAGAGAGAAAAATAGACAGAGAACTTGTGTAAGGGCTAAAACTTGAAGGCACCGAAGCAAGTGGCCTCAGAATTCCATCTGACTATGCACCACTAAGCAAAACAGTCAACAGTTACAACAGGATTCTCACTCTCCTTTCTTTTCTGTTAACTGATTTTATCCCACACTGATGTTATAGAGATCAGAGCTGGAGGCTACAGTCATTAATGTAATAAATTCTATCTTTGTCAAGAAACACAAATCCCTATTACCCTAGTGATGATAAATATTTTCATTGCATATAAATGAAAGATTTAAAACATGACTGTCATGTCATACACATTTTTTGTCCTAGGCACTTCTTTACAGCTTACAGTATAATTAAATTGAGAATCATTTTAAGCTTCTATTCATGAAAAAGCAATTTGAAGAATTCACTGATCCAGACATTAAAGATGTCTTGTTTTGTACAGCAATGCAATTAAACATCTTGTATGGGGAAAACAGGAAGACCAGCAATAATTCTAAATGCCAAATTACATTGAAAAAAGCCTGAATTTTCATTTTGGACTTTTCCCAGCTGCTTTTTCTTAAGGAAATAAAAGGGAACATTTAGAAACATGCACAATACCAAGTCTGCTTGAAATTCTGTGGGGAAATGAGAGTATGATATCCCACTAAACTGGCAAGAGTTCAAATTGTGTTTCTGCAAGACTAATGAAATGAGAAATGTTGTTTCAAGCTTCATGCCATATCAGACAATGTAAAACTAAAATGCCCTTGAGTTAATCAGAACAGTCTATTCAGCATAATTCCCCAATTCCAAAAGGCTACTGAATGGGCTGGAAATAGTGGTGTACTGGTATATTTGCTGTGGATAATATCAGATTTAATTGCTGAATTATTAGGTAACTCCTAATAAAATATCCTTATCCTATAAGAAAAATAAGTTGATTTACCTAAATCACATACTTTTATTATTTTATTTTATTATTATTTTCTAATTATATTTTATTAAGTATTTCTTCAAGGTTAGCAGGAATTTAGATGAGGGAAGCCATAAACAATATCTCCATATCATACTAGAACAAAATTTACAGTTATCTGCTACATTCTATAAAATGTAGTGTAAAACACTGCAGAAGACTGGAGTGGGAGAAAATTCTTGCATGGAAGAATATGGACACATTTGTCACATTTGTTGTTTTCTACATGCCATTTACTATTGACTCTATTTCAAAACATAAATCCTATGTAAATAAAAAACTATATTTTGTTTAATTGTAGAAGAAACCATATTTTGGTATGAGGGGATCCTTAACTTCAGCAACCGTTCAACATTAAGATGTTTTTTTCTCCTCAACTATTCCAGGTCTCAGAGGCGGCTAATTCAATTGCACTTCCATACTGAAATTATGAATGATCATGTTCATTAAGTTTCCCTTATAATGACACTTACCAGGCATTCTCCTGTGATATCATCACACATTTCTGCATGACCAAAGCATGTACATGGTGTGCAGACTCCACCAAAAATTGTGCCATTCACACGTCTGTGTTGAGGCCAACAATACTGCAAGGTAGATAACACATTAGGTAAACAGTTAAACAACTTGTCTGAACAGAGAAAAGAATGTGATTTTGTAAAATATAGTTGCATTTGATACAGGCACACAAAAATACATGCATGTCAAATGAATAAAAAGCCACCAACATTTCTCTAGAAATCTGTTCTTCCTGGTGCTGTGGCATTGCGCTGACCTTAGCATTATTTGTAGGTGTGAGATTAGAGGAAGCCTTAACTTGATTATTCTTCTGAAATGGTAAAATAAAGCAGAGGAATGAAGAATTGAAATATGACAGCATCAAAGCAAGAGGTACAGACTGAAAAAAAAAAAAAAAAAAAAAAAAAGCCAGAAGGCAAAATATTGAAGGAGAGAGAAGGAAGAAAGAAAACCCCAAAAACAACAACAAAATTTCTGAGCAGCTCAGCTGCAAAGAGCAATTAAAACATCATTTAGTCTTTTCTGTTTGTAGTCTAATAAATGGCTACACTGAAATAAAGCACAGGCTAAAAACAAAGCTACCGTTTTATTTACAAATTGTGTTGCTTAAATATAAAGCCCAATCATTTTCCTTTAAGAAGGTGCGCTTTATTTTTTTATTTTTTATGTTTTTTTTTTTTAATTTTTTATTTTATTTTTATTTATTTATTTATTTATTTTTTTAATATTAAATTCAAATCAGTATCAAATCCATGGATAGGTTTTTCTTAGGCAAGGTGACATCATACAACAGTGATTTATCAGTGAAAATTCAGCTATTCCATTTCTTCATAACACGATGTCAGGTAGCAGTCTTCCTTACTATATATATCACAAATGGCTTTATAGTTTTTGCTAACTACTTTTCCTCTGCTCATGTGATACTAGAATTTTGCATAATGGAAAAAAGTGCATGACATAGTGTTGACCTTCAGAAGCACCTAGTTAATACTAGAGAAAGTAGCTTTGCAGTGATAGAATACTGAAAGTATCAGCTAATAAAGAAAATCCCTTTCCCTTCACCACTTTCTCGAAGAGGAAACAAGGAGATTCTCATTTTTAAAAATAAAGACAATGCCCATTTTTGTCTAAATACTGCAAAATGTGTGATTTGTAGATTAATTGAAAAGACTTCTAAAAAGAATATTTTCCTTTTCCTTTTTGTCCCCACCTTTTTTTTTTTTTTCATTCTTGGTTGCGTTCCTAGCAAAACATAAATTCTAGAAATCAAATTTTAGAGTTATAAAATCCAGAAAAGGAAAATAGGTTAGCAGAAAATGTTCTACTTTTTTTCTTCTGTGACATGAGATGCAACTCCCTGTTTCTGTATAAATCTACTGTAATCTTTTTCAGTGATTCTGCAAAGAATGATCTCATGCACAGATAAACATAATATTGCACTAGATAGGACTCCAGAAGTCTCTAATTCTAAAAGTCTTAGACATAGAATGTCAACAAAAAAAATGAAAACAGACCTAAAATAAAAGTTTACAGATTGAGATCTTAAGAAAAGAAATTATGTCACATTTAAAAGTCAGGAAAGTTCTGACTTCTCTGATGATCTAACCATTCTGACCATCAGAGTGGTGCAAGTTAAACAAAATTTCTTCCATAGGGAAAGCAAAAGAGTTGATAGAAAGGGAACAAATCTAGTAGAAAGGAGCAATTAGACATAAGGATTTTGACAAATAAAGGT